TAGGAAACAGTACGCCTTAAAGTGGAAGCTTTTCACTTCATGGTGCGGATAGCGACTGCAAGACACAGTCAACTGCCCAATTGGTACAGTTCTTGAGTTTCTGCAGGAGCGAGTCTCCGCAGGGTTATCTCCCTCCACTCTGAAGGTATACGTGGCAGCCTTAGCTGCTTACCACGCCCTTCTGGGTGGTCAATCACTGGGAAGACACACACTTATCACTCGTTTCCTCCATGGCACCCTGAGGCTGAGGCCAGTACAGCGCACTAAGGTGCCCTCATGGGACCTGGCTGTGGTTCTGGAGGGCTTATGCAATGCTCCCTTTGAACCCATAGAGGAAGTTTCAGTCAAGTTGCTCACGCTCAAGACTATCTTTTAAAGGGGGGTTTCATGATCCTTTAAAGAGATTTTATAGCAGAAATATATTGCCTGTGTTTCTTTAAGCAGTGGAACTTCTGATTATGTGTTACACATGTAATTCCTATGAGTGGAGTTTGCCCAATTTTTGCAGATAGTTATGTCACATCACTTTATGGTAATGATATGAAAATTGTAATGACAGAAATGATAAAAATCATAAATTACAACTTTGCACAGACAGCATTATTTTTTTCCCGTAAGTCTCTCATGTTAAGACTTTTTTTTTACATTTTAACATTTATTGTAGTGCAGCACCTTATCCCATAGACTCCTATTATAAATTCATTACTATAAACATATTTTTGTTTCTACAAACTGAGGGACTTTGTCTTGCATTATATTGTCTTCTTTTTTATGATAACCCCACCTGTTTGGGATGTCCACGGATCCTGCAAGCTCCTCGTATTCCATGTGAAACACACTGGAGAATGTGTTCTGTAACATAAGCAGAACAGTAATTACTTACTCTGCAGTTTCACTCACAGAGGTAAACTTTGAGGAGGTTTAACACAGAGGTAAGCCAGTATTTCTGAGGCTTTTTAATGCTATTAGTGTCTGGCTGCCTGTGTAAACTTAACATTGAATATCTGCAGTCACATAGCACACACATTTCTGGAAGGGTTAGAATTTTCCGCTCATGACAAGTAAATAATTATGGAGCATGGTTCAGTGCGAAAAGCATTCTGCAAACAGTCAAAACAAAAATGTTCACAATGTACCTGTGCAATAATCAAGGAGAAATGCAAGAAATTATAAGTTCATTTCCACATTCCAGACCACATAATAGACGTTGAATATGAGTTTGTTGACAAACTTGTCTTTCTCTTACAACAGCTGCTCTTTCCAAATTTGAAGACACTAGAAGGACAGTGTCTTAATAAAATAAGGTGCCATTCGAATGCAGTTCAAGAGGAGAAACCTGCCTCAGTTAGGAAGACTAGTTGATTGTAGACCTCAGTTTTTCACAATGGTTAATCTCTTTCCATAACACTCACTATGACTGTGACCTGAAAAATGAATTCATCAAATTAACAAGCTTTCATATCTGGACTATGGTGCAACTTCCAAAGACTATAAAAACTTTGTGTCAAGATGAGGAAAACCAGAACTTTTCCTATGAACAAAGTATGCAGAACTAGGTTTCTAGGTCAACAAATGTTTTTGTTTGTTTGTTTATTTGTTTTTTTCCCCAGCTCAAGGTTAATCTGAATATAATGTTGTTGTAAAAGGGCCTTAACAATGACATCACTGCATACAGATGTGTGATTGAGTATTCCTATAACTCAAACAGTACAGTGTGGTAATTGGTTTGATTCCTAAACTGCATGAATTAAATGCAATGTATATTGCTTTGAATAAAGCAACTTATCCAAGCAACTTCTTTTGCATATTGAATTGTGACTGGTGTTGTCCTTTTTGCATCTGTTTATCTTTAGCCGCCTTTATGCTGCAAATGCATTGTCATGTTATATGACTGTGCACTGCTGACATAAAACAAGAGCTGATTGCCACAGCCAAGTTTAAAGCTCCTGTGATGCAGCATAAAGCCAAAAACATAAGCTTACCTATTGTAAAATGTGTTAAACATTGTTGTTTTGCTGCTTTGCAAGCACTGGTATTTCCTTCAGAAAATGTAATTTGAAATATCTGGTATTTTGGGTACATGAGGTGCATGAGGTATCCAGATGGCGCCGATGCTGATGGCTGCCTCCGTGGCGTGCTCCGCAGTTGTTTTTATGTTTTTGTTAGTTTGTCCTGTCTTTAGTTATATCCCTGCAATCAGTTTCACCAGAGACGAATTGCTGGACATTAGGAAGTACACACCACCCGATATTTCACCGGTTTTCGACTATTCGGATGTTTTGCTGGACATTGTTGTCGGGGGAGCTGTGGCGCTGATCAATCACTTCAGGACACGCAGACGGGGGAAGCGAGCCGGCGGGCTCGTGCTACAGTACCTGTACATACAAAAAAACGGTCTATCGTAATATACCTGCACACACAATTGTCAATTTATATATTTTTATTCCTTATTGTTCTATTTTTATTTTTATTATCTGTATTTTTTGTTCTGTCACTGTCATTCTGTTACACTGTGGAAGCTTCTGTCACGAAAACAAATTCCTCGTATGTGTAAACATACCTGGCAATAAAGCTCATTCTGATTCTGATGTGTATTTGTTGCCATATTTCTTTGGCAGAGGCAAATAAGGAAGAAATTTAAGTGAAGTTCTCTGCTAGTGAGTCTGCTATAAAGGAAGCAAGTGTTTCTTAACTCTCTCACTCAGCTATGGAAATATCCAACACAGCCTCTCTTTTATATTGCCTAAATGCTGCACATTAGAACTGGCAAACTATTAACAAACAAAAAAAGCATAATATTATTGGGGTAAAATGTAAAAGAAAAGGTTGCTCTTTAATTATGTCACTCTAAATGAATAAATCATTATAAATGAATAAATATTTTTTTTCTAAATGAAACAAAAAATATATTGCATTATATGCTATTTGATCTTCTAAACAACCCTATAGCTCAGTGGTTCTCAGTGTTTTGTTTTGATTTGTTTTTTGAGCCACTGTTTCAGAACATTGCGAACCATAATCTTTTTCAAGTAGTAACCAGTATCAGCTGAATCTTTGTCCTGAATCAGTCCTGAATCTTTGTTGTAAACCTGCCTTAAATAAGCTCCCCCACCAAACACCTCTAAGCCCCTCTTTCAAAAATATTACATGCTGCGGTCCCAGTGCTCTCAATACGCCTCCAGTGATAAAAGCTGCTATACTAAATTGTCTTTTAGAACATCTAGCCTCAACTACAAGCAATTTTTTGATTATACAGATTTCAAAAAGTCATGCTGTTTGAAGCCCAAGCTTAAATTTTTTTAAGCATTCTAAAGGGATATTTTGGATAGCCAATGTCTTGGTCACAAAATTTTTTGAAAGTTTTAGTGAAATAAATGTGATGCAATGTTTTGGTCTTACAGCTGTTTCCCTGTCAGAAATGAAGACAGTGCATTCTTGGGCCTGCATGAAAGACAGGATAGTGGCCACAGTTTTCCTCAGTAAGACCTCCAAAGACTGCTGCTCCTCAAAGATCAGACTAGCCAGATCCAACAACACCTAAAAAACAACCCAAAAAATGATCACTGCTTATAGCCAAGTTACTGTTTAATCACACCTATACAAAATTATTTCTTACTAAAATGTTGAAAAATACCTGGTTTCGCCTGTTCTCCAGCTGTGATGTCTCATAGAGCTGTGCATTGTGTAGCACTATGCCAGAGAAAGCCAGGTATGAAGAAAAGTCCTGTTGAGATGAAAAATAAACATATTATTATAATAAAATGTCAGAAACTATAAAATAACTATCAAACTAAATGTGCAAAAGTTTTCACCCTCTGTGCAAAACATCCTGTTCTGTGAAGGCACTGTTCTCTCCGCACCTTTTATTGATTGCTTGCGCTACTCCAACAACCTTTAAGCATAAATAAGATATAGCAGTCAAGTTTTGATAGTACATGTTGCAAATACTGTATAGCAGATCAGACTTTTTTTATGTTTAAATTCATCTCTCACTTCTTCTCTGTGGTTTTTGATGGGCAAACACAAGATGCTCTGCGTCTTATATCCTGTAATTTGGTCCACTTCTGCATTAAAACGTGGATCCTGAAGGAGAAAAAAAATCAACCACAATTCCCATTTATCCAGCATTCTAATTAATTATGACTTGCAATATGCAGACAAAGTAGTTTTTTTTAATAATTCAAATCAATAGTTTTTTTCTTCTCATCCTACAAATGCAACTTAGACACAAATGTGACCCTGGACCACAAAACCAGTCATAAGTAGCACGGTTATATTTATAGCAATATTCAAAGACTACATTGTATGGGTCAAAATTATCGATTTTTCTTTTATGCCAAAAATCATTAGCATATTATGTAAAGATCATGTTCCATGAAGATATTTTGTAAATTTCCTCCCATAAATAAAAAGGGGTCTCTTAAGCCATAAACAGTCCAACGCTCATGCATGATCCTACGCAGATGCTACAAATATATCAAAACTTAATTTTTGACCAGTAATATGCATTGCTAAGGATTTCATTTAGACATCTTTAAAGGCAATTTTCTCAATATTTAGATTTTTTTTGCACCCTCAGATTCCAGATATTCAAATAGCTGTATCTCGGCCAAATATTGCCCTATATCCTAACAAACCATACATTAATGGATAGCTTATTTATTCCGCTTTCAGATCATGTATAAATCTCAGTTTTGAAAAATTGACACTCGTGACTGGTTTTGTGATCCAGGGTCACAAATGTAAAAGGAATAGTTCACCCAATATAAATAAATAAATAAATAATCTCATATATATTGCATTTGTTCATTCAGTGTTGAGCTCTGTTGGACCACTCAAACCGCAGAGTATGGTATGCTTGGTTAGAATGCCTTGGGACTTTGTGTCTGTTGTTGTGAGGGGGGCAACGTTTGCACTCAAGCAACTGCAGTTCTGTTTGGCACCGTTACCGGCACCGGAATTACATACTTCAAGTAAACAAATATGTTGACAGATGATGTTTAATGGCACCATGAGGACCTAGTGTTCTTTCTTAATTTTACCCTGTTCTGATATGCAAAAACATTATCATGATGTTTTAAATGGTGATGGTGGTGACTGCTGAATTATTCCTTGAATGTTCATATGAAACAAGTCTCAGAGGGCCATTAAACACTTGAATTTCATTCCAAACATGGTTAAGGATTTACCTTAATCTTAATTTTAGTGTTTTAAGACACATTCGGTTAAATATTAATCTTTTTTTTCCCTTTCTCGTTCTCACTATCTTTCTCTTTACCTCTTTTTCCTTTTTCCTCTCTCTGTAGAACTGAGGGAAGCACAATTAAACTAAATTACAAAGAGCTAAAAATACCTGCTATCATTATACAAACTGTTGGTTAGCAACTGAATTGCATAACAACATTTAAATCTAATCAAAGGCCTTAAGAGACATAGCCTAAATTGCGTTTCTAAGGAAATAATTTATTAGTGTTAGGAGGGTATTATAAAGCAGTACATTTTATTTCAGTCTCTGAAACCAAGGGTGTTTCCTGTACATGACAAGGTAATACAGAGGAATCAGATAAGAGGAAAATGCATGAATAAAATCGCTGTCTGAAATCCTGTGTCTAATTACTGAGATAAGCAGGTAAATCCAAATGGTTGTCCATCCACAGCGTCATTATAAGGGCAATGATGCAATTTGAGGGAAGAAACTCAAATTTGAAATTCTTTTAAGGACTGGACCATCTTGTTAAGACACAAATACCTCAAAATACAAACAAGAGTGTGTATTATGTCATATATTAATTTTTACTGGATTATTAGCACTTTTTTTCAATGTGGGCAAATAAACTTTCAAACAAGCATTATTACAAGAAGAGCTCATTTGTTTTCATGATTTTTGTTGATGTATACCAATATTTTCTATTTAGTTTATTCAATTTGTTATTCAGGTTAATTGAATGTATTTAAATTTTAAATTTTTCTTAAAGTTTTCTTAGTCAATTATCAACAAATTTAGGTTTTCTCATTTAGAGTCTTTAAGGAATAAAACACTAGAATGGCAAACACAAAGCCTCACCTCATATGCATTCTTGATGTTCAGAGGCTGTCCGGTGACTGCCACATATCCCACAATTCCTTTGTTCCATTCTAGGCGAATACCACTGTTGGAAGCCTCCTCAAGAGTGGATCCTTCTGCGACATCAAAGAGCCGGCTAACCAGGAACTTCCTGTTTGAACTGTCCTCTCCAACCAAGAACAATGAATAGCGATCTGCAGCTATCAACTCATGAGTGTGTAAGAAGATCTTGTGGCAGAGGGCAGTAAGGTCCAAGTGACTTGAAACATCACGTACAAGCTCCAGCAGACGAGCACAGCAGTCCCCATTTTCGTGAACTCCTGAATTCATAATACCTCCACCCTCATCTGTCCCATTGCCTGAGCCAGACCGCTGGGGTTGAGGAAGTGGCATCTGCACCCTTTCTGTATCACTAAGAAAAGTAAGCGAACCCTCAGCGTCTTTCACAACAATGGGGCGAAGCGGCCTATCAAACTCAGATGCAGAGATCTTTCGTGTAGGGGTGGATGGAGCTGGACTTGGAGATGGCGCATCAGTTGGATGGAGGGCCAATAAAGGTTCTGCCGGGGCTTTTGTTCCTTCCCTAGATGGCTGAATGGAGTGGACACGCTCAGCAAACCAAGCGTTGACCATTTCCCTTAAAAAGAAAAATATAACCAAAAACATTAGCTCAGCAGTTTCTTGACCTAAAAAAATTACAAATACAAAACTGAATTTAAGTAATTACCCAGTCTGTGTTGGTAAATTTGATTATACCTAATGAGTCTCAAAGTCAGGTTGGTATTTATCTTGGTAATGCAACCAAGCAGCTATTTCGTAGGTAACAGTCATACAAGGTCAGCTTCTAAAATCTGCCCTCATAAATTTTCCTGTATCTTTCAGGCTGATCAAATTATTGTGCATGCATGTATACAGTAAACAAACTCAATAAAAAGGCTCTTTTAATTGAAAGGTGGGACTTCTATCCCCACCGCTGCCATATGGCTTCCTCCTATACTGTCTCTGCTACTCATCTAGAAAATCTGTTTCAACTCATCTACCAACAGTTGGCCTAGCAAGATAAAACAGCAATGTAGAGAATTTTCACAGTTCACCTCAGTCATTTCAAGGTTTTATGCGCAGTTTGCTGGACCCATCTATGAACTGTTACAAAGGTTATATGTTACATTCTCAAAGTTATCATTAAAAGTTGAATGGGACATTGAGTTTAGCAGCTCAAATGGAAACCATTGGAGTACATAACAACCCACAATCATAACATTTGCTGATAGATTATTTCCAAATCTGTCAAAACAACACTAACTGGCTTTTATTAAACTAACACTACAATGAAAGCATTAAAATAGCCTATAACAAATGTTTTCAATGAAATGTTGTTTAGGATATTCAAACTCCAACATAGTCTCAGTGGACTCAACCTAAATTGTTCTTGGCTAGAATAGTTTAAATAAATAACATTCCCCTTGAAGAGACACCATCCAACCATTTCCTAAAATTAGTAACTTCCCCATCTAAAGTTACTTGTGCTAAGCAGTCTTAATTTATCCCAGCCAATCAAATAGTTAAGATTTCCATTGGTTGTTTTTCAGAGGCAATAAATTAATTAATATAAATTTAATGTTTAACTAATGAACCTTATTGTAAAGTGTTACCAATTAATTAATAAACAATTAAACAGGCAAACAGTTGGACTGGTGTTAGAGTTAAATATAATTGATTCAAAGCAAATAAAACTCAACTTTAAAAAAATCAATCAATCAATCAATAACAAATTTTGGGGATTCCCAAAGGAAAGGGCAGAGTAGTAGGTGCTACACACAGCCAGGAGCAGCACAAGGTTTGGTAGAATTTGTTCAATACTTAGTCTCAATCTAATTCTAAACTACTTTTGTGTTTTGGCAATATGGGTGGCGAATTTGTATGAATTCCTAGGATGCATACATTTTCATATGATCTGCTTACACCCCACGTTTTTTTTATTTTTTATTTTTTTCTAAAAATCTTACACTTTTCTATGAATCAAATCATACACATTCATATGAAATTGCAGAATTGTAAAATAGTTGTGTTTTCTAATGAAAGCAGTTTGCCTTTATAATAATGTCATAATTTATTAGCCTATGTCTGTTCTTCGTCCTCATTTATTTGTTTAAAACTCTGCATTAAAGTGCATAAAGAACATCAAATCAAATCAATATATCAATCATTTCAATATATAAAAGTTGGTATTGATTAAACAGTGTAAGCATTGAGTATACATCATAGCTGTGTATATCAACTCTAGGTCAATGATGATGATGTCAATGACATATGTCAAATAAAACCACCAGTACAATGTGAAATGATACGCTACTCACAGTCTCAGATATAATTGCTCTCTAATAAACGAGTTCAAGTTCCCAATTATGTTTACATCAGAGTACACAGGAAAATGTAAAATGATTCTGACACATTCCTATACAAACAACAAAAAAGGTAAAACAGCTAAAGTTAAAGTTGAATTGAAGGCAAATATTTGGCGATGATGAGAACATGCAACGGTCTGTACAGCTTCATTACAGTTACGTCTTTAAACTGAACTAACAATCTGCGCCTTTGAACTTACCGAGAAGCCTTTCGTGCAAAATAAGAATGTGCGAACTCTAGGTTGTCGTCAAGCCAAGCCTCCATCATCCTTTCACTTTCGGGAGGATAGAACTCCATTCTGCCTACACAGATCAGCCGGTGGATATCATCCGCCTGCTCTCTTCTGAGGTTCAGTCACAAGCACACTTCCACCACAACCAGCCACCGGCGTCTAATCTCTCTCTCTCTCTCTCTCTCTCTCTCTCTCTCTCTCTCTCCACGCACACACACGTAGCGCCGCTCTACTTAAATTAAAAGAAAAAATATCACAAGGCATCACTATTTTTGTACATTATTAGTAGCCTGTGTTTTTTTCGTTGTTTCGTCCCATTGGCGCTTCTTTTATGTATAATTTATATACTTTTCACTGTCGTTCGATATTAGGAAATAAACTCCTCACAACCACTTCATCAAATCAATATCCCAAAGCATATGGGTAGTTGGCATGACATGTCAATTAGTGATTGTAGCATTCAAGCTACATTTAAAAATATTTTAATCAACATTTTACAGATATTACATTGTTATCATTTACAATTGTTATACATATCACTTTTTTTTATAAGCTCAGATAATTAAAAGTCAGCATGGATTTAGATCAACTGCAAAAATAAACAAATACATATTTATTTTAATGTCAGTTTAATGTTTACTACATTAACCTAAAATGCACTTTGCTTTATGGCCTACATGCAGTATACAGTTTAACACAAAATATTTAAAAAATGTCAGTTTGTCAATTACCCATATACCATTGGATTTTATAAAAATAACAAAATTCAGAATCCTTACCAGACATCTGTCCCTTATATTAATATTGAATAGCCCCATCCCACCCCTAAGAACTGCCCCATCTCTGTACATAATGGTGTAGCCTTACCAGCAGATGGTGCCTCCTCTCCTGGGAGAGGAAGATACCACTGAAGGCATATGTGCTCTCTTGGGTACAAATGTGATTCCATTGTATACATGGTGGCTTGGCTGAGCTAATGATGGGCTCTGGAGAGACTATGTCAGTGAGAGTGAACAGTATTGGAAAATGTTTCAATAAAACATTTTTATATAGTCTTTTTTTTCAGTTAATTTATCAATGGCTGCATTTGGCTGTCTCTCTCTCTCTCTCTCTCTCTCTCTCTCTCTCTCTCTCCACGCACACACACGTAGCGCCGCTCTACTTAAATTAAAAGAAAAAATATCACAAGGCATCACTATTTTTGTACATTATTAGTAGCCTGTGTTTTTTTCGTTGTTTCGTCCCATTGGCGCTTCTTTTATGTATAATTTATATACTTTTCACTGTCGTTCGATATTAGGAAATAAACTCCTCACAACCACTTCATCAAATCAATATCCCAAAGCATATGGGTAGTTGGCATGACATGTCAATTAGTGATTGTAGCATTCAAGCTACATTTAAAAATATTTTAATCAACATTTTACAGATATTACATTGTTATCATTTACAATTGTTATACATATCACTTTTTTTTATAAGCTCAGATAATTAAAAGTCAGCATGGATTTAGATCAACTGCAAAAATAAACAAATACATATTTATTTTAATGTCAGTTTAATGTTTACTACATTAACCTAAAATGCACTTTGCTTTATGGCCTACATGCAGTATACAGTTTAACACAAAATATTTAAAAAATGTCAGTTTGTCAATTACCCATATACCATTGGACAAAATTCAGAATCCTTACCAGACATCTGTCCCTTATATTAATATTGAATAGCCCCATCCCACCCCTAAGAACTGCCCCATCTCTGTACATAATGGTGTAGCCTTACCAGCAGATGGTGCCTCCTCTCCTGGGAGAGGAAGATACCACTGAAGGCATATGTGCTCTCTTGGGTACAAATGTGATTCCATTGTATACATGGTGGCTTGGCTGAGCTAATGATGGGCTCTGGAGAGACTATGTCAGTGAGAGTGAACAGTATTGGAAAATGTTTCAATAAAACATTTTTATATAGTCTTTTTTTTCAGTTAATTTATCAATGGCTGCATTTGGCTGGAACTCCAGGAACTTCCCACTATCTTTCCACGGAAGATGGAATTTAGGAGTCATGTCAGGACATGCTGGGCTTATGGTGGGATTCCTGTAGTTCCCATCTATGGTATCACATGCAACTTTCACAGCCTTCAAGCACCATTTGTCATGGTGTCCCCAACTAGATGTGCATGAACACACAAATCAGCTAGCTGGTCTGAAACACTGTCCAGATGTGGTCACTCAAGTCACTCTAAGCTAAACTACTCGGTTTGCCTTTCAGTCATAAGTCAAACAACACTCTATCCTTCCACATAATTCCCTGCACTACATTAAACAGCTCAGCCGCTATTGTAAACCCTAAAGTCAGTGCTATGGAGGATAGTGCTGGATGGAGAGAAGTCCTGTGCAGTCCTCCAATGGAAACAATTTTGAGTGCTTAGTTTGTCCCATGTAGCGCTCAACAAGACAAACATGGCAGTCAAACGATTTATTAACAGCAGGTTTAATGGAGACAGAGGGAATGGGGTTGAACCTTTAAAACAATGGTATATGGTATAGAGACGCAAGTGAACGTGCAACTGGATGCAGGTAATGAAAGTAACCTGAAAAATTCCACTAAACACACACTGTCCGAAATTTGCCTTTGCCTGTCTTTAGATGATACCATGAGATCAGTTAAAAAGAGTTATTTTGCTCAACAGTGTTTAGATTTTTGTGTCTTATCAAGCCTTTTATTGTTTGTTTTCATTGTAAGTTTTTCCCTTTTTTTCATGATATCCAGATGAGGTTCATGCAAAAAACATAACCAAGGGAAGTTTGCATGATAGGACTAGGTGTTATGATCCCAAAATTAAGCACCATTTAGCTGCACCAGAACATTTTCTCCTTCGCTGTAAACAAAAAACAGCGAGACGCAGCAAGAAGCTAGCGATACGTTTTTACATAATCCAGTATATTATTTGGAAAATTAATCTAATTTGGGTGTAAATTATGGAGTATCTGACCCCCTAATTAAAGCTTGAGTCCCCATAGAAAGTCAAAACAAAACATTGGGGAGTTTATGTATTTAAATGTGATTGTAATATTTTTAAAATGATAAATTATTATTATTATTATTTTTTGATCTCTCAGTGACCACAAAAATGAGATTACCATAGCTTAGTCAAGCTTAGTTAAGTAAGTCAAGATGCATATTTTCTCCTGGCTGCAACAGTCTTGTCTGCACAAGCCCTTTTTGTAAAGACTGTTATTAGACAAAACATAAAAATGGTTATTATTTATCCTTTTATTATAGATTGAAATCTCACAGATATATAGCTACAAGTTAAAATGTTTTGTCTTTTAGTTCAAATATAAAAACCTTTTTAAATAGCAGACCCCCTTGAAAGTTATTTGTATAATTTGCAAACATAATGTGCCACCTATTTCCCTTTTGATTCAATACATGCAACCAATTATCCATAAATCTTAACAGTTAAAGGGATAGTTTACCCAAAAATGTTAATGTCAAACATTTTTTGTGGAACATAAGACTAATTTTAAAAAAGAAGAACATTGTTTTGAACAGTTTTTTTTTTTTTACCATACAATACTGCTTACTGTATAAAGCTTTAAAACAACACAAGGGGAAATGGTTCTGGGTAAACTACCCCTTTAACAATTCCTATTATAAATGCATGCACTGTTCACTGTTCACAAGTTTATAAGCCATGGCATGCACATCAAGACATTAGGTATGCTCTGCAGGCATAGTTACCTCCAGCATGCACAGAATTCTCCTTAATATCACATCTCCTCTAGGTCACAAGTAGGGTATTTCGGAGAAAATCTGCTGCAGAAGAAAACTTCCCCAGTGAACAGTTCTGAGCTCCAGTTGAATATTGTTAAATATTTTTGGAGGTAGTAGAGGGGGTTTCAGGGGGTTGAGTCTTTCTTTCTGAGCTTGACAACCACAGTGCTATCCCTGGCAAACATCACAAAGGTCTAGCAAGATTTGGAATAAACACAAAAGAAAGTGTGCAAGGGGAGGGCTTACCCTTGCATTCAGGTTGTTTAATGAGATATATATCAGGATGTTAGCAGAGCCTGAGCTAAGTTGAGCTGTGGTTTGCCTGTTGGAAAAAGCTTCTTTAGTAACATTCAAACTGCAAGCAAATCTCTTGTGCTAACTTAACTGGAATACATTTCCATCATCAATTAACATTCAAAAATACATTATGTAAATTACCACTGCATAAATGAGCTCATCTGTAATGACATTACAGTGAATCTTTCTATTTGCTTGCACACCATCAAGAATATAAAACACATCTTTCAATATGAATTAAATATGAATTGTAATTATATTTGTAGTGCTTGTTGTTGCAAAACTTGCTGTCATATACAATTTTTTTTTGTCACTGTTAAGTTTGCTTACTTTTTGCATTACATGATATAAACATCAGCAGATTTGAAAATGTACTATACAAATTCACTATAAGTTACCTCTATCACAATTTTTTTAAAGAAAAAAAGACATCCTGGTCTAGTACATACTCCACTAAAATACTTAACCCTTTAACTGTCACCCGTCCCCTCTGTGGGACGCCAAGGTTTATGTCACTATATTACAGTTAAATCCTAATCTAATCATGACAAACTATATATCGTTGGAAAAGTGTAAGTCTCCTAAATAGATATTTTACCAATGTTTTTGTAAAAAATTATGTAGGAAAAGTAATAGATTAATTTATGACAAGAGTGCACCTCAAAAATCTTAGAACAGGAGTTCTGACCTTTGTCAAAAAAAGTCTTCTTCGTTGCCTTTTTCTCTATCACACTTTAGAAATCATCAGAAATTATATATCAATTGAAAACTTTACATCTCAAAATTCATCCTTTGAAACCCATTTTAAAATCAAACATTGCATTACCATGAAAATGGTACATCAATATAATTTTTACAAAACGTTTTTGTTCATGAATTATAAACATTTAAGTTTGGATCGTGCAATTTCACGTCTATGTTCAAAAATGTGAGTGACAGTTAAAGGGTTAACGTAATAATAATAATAAAAAATGTTTTATATTAGTAGAGTATGTAGTAGTAGATCACAATGTGTAGCACATACTCTACTAAAATACTAAGTATAAATACAAATTATACTTTTAGATGACAGAGCA